GCTGAAGTTTGAAAAACCATGCTGTAATGTTAGATGCTAATGTGACTAATTTTGTAGTTGTTGTTGTTACCAGGGATTAAACCCAGAGGTGCTTAACCATTGAGCCACATTCCCAGTCATTTTATTTTTTTATTTCAAGACAGGATCTTTCAAAATTGCTTAGGACCTTAATAAGTTGCTGAGACTGGCTTTGAACTTGAGATCCTCCTGCCTTCCAAGTTTGCTGGTATAACAGATATGCCCCACCATACCTAGCTAATGTGGCTCATTTTAATTACAGACTCTCCAAGGAGAAAACAGGCTGACAGAAAGGATCCTCTGCTGAGTAGTTATTTCTGTTTCACAATGTGAAGTACCCAGCCTGAATTAAAGTAATCAAATTTACAAGAGAAATGGAGCCGGAGTGTCAGCATCTTCCTCCACCCCCATCACCTTTTCTCACAGGTCCACTATGGGAAATATACACAAGTAAATGAAGATATCAATAATCATTCATAATATTATCATTCAGAGATCACTATTCTATCCGACTTTTTCCTATATCCATACAGTTTACCAAGATAAAATCATATAAAGCATATTTCCTTGTGATCTGCTTATTATGTTATATAGAAGATATATTAAATAATGCAATGTCTGATATTTGCTTTAAAATAATCCTGTAGAGACAGGACAGGTGTGAAATGAGAGGGGGTATAAATGAACTAAGAATGTCTGTGAGTTGATCATTGTTGTAGCTGAGTATCAGGTTCACGGCTCTCTCTTATTGAGCATCTTTGAAATTTTCCATAATATAAAAATGTCCTTAAGCAGTAACCTGCTAACTATAACATCATTTTTAATATTTTGTTTTAATTAGTCATACATGACAGTGGAATGAATTTATGCTCTTTGATATATAATACTTAGATGGGATATAATTTCTCATTTTTCCGAGTGTGAAGCTGTAGACTCACATTGGTCATGCAGTCACATATATACATAAAGTAATATTGTCTGTTTTATTCTACTATCCTTCCAATCCCCTCTTCCTCTCCCTTCCCCTCCCCTCCCTTTACTTCCCTCTAAGGTACCTCAAGTCTTCTCCAGTGCCCCACCCCTCTTATTGTGAACTAGCATATTAGAAAAAACATTCAGCCTTTGGATCTTTGGGATTGGCTTATTTCCCTTAGCATGATATACTCCAACTCCATCCACTTACTGGCAAATGCCATAATTTCATTCTTCTTTAAGGCTAAATAATATTCCATTGACCATATATACCACATTTTCTTTATCCATTCACCTATTAAAAGATACCTAGGTTGGTTCCATAGTTTAGCTAGTGTGAATCGAGCTGCTATAAACATTGACCTTGCTGCATGACTGTAGTGTGCTGATTTTAAGTTCTTTGGGTCTAAACTAGAGGAGTGAGATAGCTGAGTCAAATGGTAGTTCCATTCCAAGTTTTCTGAGGAATCTCCATTCTGCTTTCCATAGTGGTTATACCAGTTTGCAGTGCCACAAGCAATGTATGAGTGTACCTTTTTCCCCACATCCTCACCAACATTTATTATTGCCTGTATTCTTGATGATTGCCATTCTGACTGGAGTAACTTTATCATATATATTAGGATTTACAACATGATGTTATAGGATATAGATAGTAAAATGGTTACTATAGTGAAGCAGATTAACATATCTCTAATCTCACATAGTGTATGTGTATTTGTGTGTCTGTTGGGGGCGTGGGAGGAAGACAAGAGTAGCCAAAATCTATAGTAGTCTCTTTTTATCCACAGAGGATGCATTTCAAGATCTCCAGTGGATACCTGAAACTATAGAACCCTATATCAAAACACCAAATACCATGGCTATCTGTTTGATAACTAAGTATCTAATGTGTAGGCCATATGTACAGCATGGATATACACTGGACAAAGGGATGATTCATGTCCCATGCTGGATGGCACAAGATTTTATTATGCTACCAAAACAGCATATAATTTAAAATTTATGAACTGTTTATTTCTGGAAATTTTCTGGTATATTCCATTTAATATTTTTAGACCACAGTAGATCTCAGGTAACTGAAAGAATGGAAATAAAAATCAATGGCTTTGGGCTTATTTAATAATATAAGTTCAATAATCTAATGCAATAGAACTATATTAAACTACAGTCCTCACGTTAGACATTAGCTCTCTAAACTTTTCTCCCCACATGTCTGCAGTTTTATATCTTTTAACTTACATCTCCCCATTTTCTTTCCTCTCTTCCTCAGCCAGTGGTCGACATTGTTTTATTCTCTATTTCTGTGTATTTGGGTTATTTCAATCAATAGTGAGATCTTGTAATATTTTTCTGTCTTATTTTACTTAGCATAATGTCCTTCAGGCTAATGCATGTTGTGGGAAATGGCAGGATCTCTTCCTTTCAAAAAGCTGATAATATTCACTGCATAAATGAACCACATTTTCTTTATTCATTCATTTTTTGGCATTTTGATTTCTTGGCTATTGTGAATAATGCTGCAATGAACATGGAAATGCAAATATTTTTACAAGGTGGTGAGTTCATCTCTTTGGGGTACACCTTGAAGTGGAATTACTGGATCATGTGGAGGCTCTTTTAACTTCTTTAGGAGTTTCTATCCTATTTTCCATATTGGATGTACCAATTTATATTCCTACCAACAACGTATTTGGGTTTCCATACTCTCACCAACAGTCTTTATCAACAGTTGTTAAATCATCTTTGTGATAACAGCCATCCTTACCGGTAAGAAGTGATCTCTCATAGTGGTTTTAACCTGCTTTCTCAGATGATGAGTAATTCCAACATCATTTACAATTTTTTTTTTTAGTTGTCAATGGACCTTTATTTTATGTATATTTATACGTAGTTCTGAGAATTGAACCCAGTACCTCACACATGCTAGGCAAGCGCTCTACCACACTAAGCCACAATCCCAGCCCCCAACATCATTTTTAATGACTGCATGTACCATACTTTAATCATTCTTCCAATGTCAAATTATTAGAACATTTTCAAGTTTTCATTTTCACAAATAATACTGTAATGGACATCTTTGTAGCTAAATATATAAAGGATCAGATATGGAGAATAAGAGAAAGAAAGAACTAAAGTTTTTTTTCTGAGTAATGAGAAGAATGACATTGCCATTATCAGAGAAGGGAAAGATTCAAGTATGAGTAGTTGGGGGATTTAATAAAAGAGATTGATTTGGATGATTTTGTTACATTTGGGACATCTATTAGAAATCTAGGTAGAGAGGTAAGTAGGCAGTTGCATTTAAAAAACTGGAATTAGTAGGAGTGGTGAGGGCTGGAAATACAAATTTAAATCATCAGCATATAGATGTGAAGGAGGTAAGAAATATTTAAAGACTTAACTTTGGTATTCACCAATTTAAAATCAGATGAGGAGGATCTAACAAAGGATACTGAGAGAGATACACAGAGAAGTAAGAGAATGTGGTGTCCCAGAGACCAAATGAAGAAAATACTTCTAGAAGGAAAAAATGAAGAAGTTTAATATTCTGTGGACTTAAAACTGCCAGTGAGGTTTGATCACATGATGCCTTGTTTATTATCTTTCTTCTCAGTCTAGAATGCAAGCTCCCTGAGGTAGGGCAAATGAAATGTTTATTTCTGTTATTACTATAATCCTGGTGCTTAGAACAGTGGCTGGCATACGGTATGTACTCAATAAATAACTATTGAATTAAAGAGTGAAGAACGGATCTGGGTCTGTGTGCATTTATAATTATTTTGCCACATTGAAGTCTTAAGAGTAGACTGCTAAGGCAAAACTTTAAGTCTTTTGATGATAAATACTATTATTAATTTTTAAGTCCAACAAACCAGGCTGTAATCCCATTTAAAGACCATCAAAGATTCCTCTGTTATTATTGGGAAACATCAAAGGATAGCCTTGAACCAGCCCCTAATAGGACAAACTAAGCAAAGTTTATGTTTGTTTTCCTCCCACTTATTTCATCACCGCACTTAAATCCACTTTTGAACTCTTCTCAAATGCCTCTCTTCTAAGCCACATCCCAAATGGGATTTGGTTTCACTGGATTGTCCATTAGTTTTCTCCTCCCCTTCCAGAGATGTAGCTAAATAATAAATACTAGCTCCACATGACTTATGGCCGCATCAGCAGCATCCACCTTAAAGAAAAACCTCACCATGACGGAAGCTCTCAGACCTAGAGGAATAATGTTATAATAGAACGACAGACACTAAATCTGCTACTTAGTCTAGGAGCCCTGCCTAAAACCACACCAGAGCCCACTCCACAACCTAATAAAGCTCTAGACGAGTCTGGATGGAAAAACACCTGGGGAATGTCTTTGTCCTGCCTTTCATTGGAGAGAGAGCCTCTTTTGCCTCCCAGTGTGTTCTCCCAATCTTTCATTTGTGGACTTGCTTTATCTTTCTCCTACCTGAGATGTTTCTCAAGCATAGGGATGAGGGCCCCACTCCTCTGGTAACCCCAACCATGTCTTGAATGGGATGGGCTTCAATCATGTCTCAGGAATTACTGACAAACAGCAGACATCACACTCCCTTCCTACTGAGGTCAGATGCAAGGTACCATAGTTCTTCCAGCAGTTCTTGTTGCTCATCTAACTCAACCAAAAAAAAAAAAAAAGAATCATAGTAATCATAGTTAACAAATATGGCTGGCTCACAAAAAACATCTCCAACCTGGTATCTTTTTTTTTTTTTTCCGCTCTGCACAACCTTGGGAAGAATCAGGAAATGTGTCACAGGAATCCTTGGCAGAAAAAAAACTCCCAGGTTAAAGATATGAGTGTGGACAGCGCCATGCCCAGACACAGTGCCAGACACGGTGAAAACTGGGGTGGTTGATGGCTCTGAGCTAAACCCTCGTCCTTCCAGTCTCTGGCCGTTAAGTCTGACAAAAGACGCAACTTGAGCGTGGGTGGACACACTTTCCTGAGCGTGTTCAGGAAAACACATCTCTGGCATTGTTAGAAAGGTTTATTTACAGGCATTAACTCTCACAATGAGATATTCCTAGATTTGATGACAATAAAGGGGCTTAAGTGAACAATGACCCAAACACTGCTACTTCCATGGAACCACCCAGGGAGCACTCCTCCTCCCAATCCTGAGACTTGTCATTATGACACATGCCAGAAATAATCTCCCAGCTACAGATCACTTTGAAGTCCAAAACATTCCTGATTTAAACTTTTCCAAAGTCGAGGGCTTTAAACAAAAAAACCCTTTTAAGGTCAGAAAAGATCACCAGGGAACTGACAGGATAAAGTGAGGCACAGCATGCCCAAAGGCAAAAATCTCCGGGCTCTGTCATTTTAAGTCAGCTTGTGAATATATTAAAAATCCGGAGGTCAAAAGCCATTTTCCTTTCTCATCGCATTACTGCTGTAGCCCTAGGGGAAAGCAAAAGAACTATATTATTTTCAGATCAGAATACAGAGGCTCTCAACCTAAGTGTGCATGAGAATCACCCTGGGGAGTTGTTCAACTGCAGCTACAAAAGCCCCACCTCCAGAGACTGTTCCTCCAAATCATTATTTAAACAAGCTTCAAGTGGTCCACCCTCGAGCTCACAGAAGCCTTGGCACCGTGGCTTCCCACAGTGGTGATGGTTGGGGGTGGGAGGTAGGAAGTGGTTATTACAAGGTATCCTTGTATGGGTGGGTACCAATTTTCTCCCTCAATCCTCTGGGTTGTTAAAACATTCAAGGAGTCTTCCTGCTCAAAAGCTCAGGAGTACCCTCAGCAGCCCTTTCTTTCCCTCCTTTCTTCCCTTCCTTCTTTCCCTAATTTGCTCTGAGAATTTTCCAGAGCTGTGGAATGGAAGGGAAAAGTGTGGTTACCCATAGGCATCTTGTGCAAGAGCCCGCTCCTTGATTTCTCTAGATGAGAGGGTAGCACGGGAGATCAGCCAGCACCCTGGCTGAGATGCAGTGACCATCAGCTCATAAGTTACCTTACTCTCACTCTTGGTGCCTCAGTGCCCTTATCTTTAAAATGGGTGCAATAATCATAACTTCCTCATGTGGTTGTTCTGATGATGGAATGAATATATCTGAAGAACTCAGAGTCATGTGCCTGGTCTGTAGTGCTTTCGTGTGTAAATGATTACTGCTGTTGCTCACTGTTAATCAGGAAGGACATTTTTCACTTTCCAGCAGCAGTTCATTCGCTCTTTCCCTTGCCTGCAGGTTGAATTGTTCAGAGCTTGGGCTGGGGCCTACTGGGTCTTGACTGGACTAAAATGAGAAATGTCAAGTGGCTCTGATGTCACTGCAGACCTCGATGTCATCGCATGCCGAGGAGTATCTCTCTAAGGTTCCGATCATTTCTGGGAAAACAATGATTCAGTTTAACTACTGAATCCTTTCCTGTCCTCATCCACCTGCACTATTATAAAACAGTTTTCTTCTTCTTATTATTATTATTATTATTTCTTATTTCTCTAGATATTTGGGTGCCACATAACCAACCTAATTTTTCTTTCTTTTTTTTTTTTTTTTTCGTGCTCATTTTGCACTTCATTCCTCCTTAAAGCTTGCTCTCCCTATTCTTCCACCTTCCTCACCTCTACGTCCACTCCACCTGCTCCTCAGAATGGCCTCGGCCCTGTCCTTTGACCATGTATTTGCACGGTCAGTATCAGATGAAACCCAGTCACGGAGCACACATCCCCAGGCCCTCTCTCTGGAATTTTCCGAGGGCTGAAAACTGAAAGCAGCTTCCTCCCAGAGGGAGCAGAAGGCCTGGAACTCCCCTGCCCCCGTCCTCCTCCTCCACCTTCCCCAGGGACTTGGGCGGTTGCTCAGAGAAGGAGATAAATGCCATCTGAAAGAATGCTGCTGTTGCTAGGAGAGAAAGAAGGAGAAATAGTTCCCTGTCACAAAGGGTAGCCAGGAGAAAAGCCACCCTCGGCTGGACAACAAAGAGGAGAAGGGTAGAGTTTCCACGTGCTGCCAGTGTGTGCACATTAGCTGTTTCAACTACTAAGTATGAGATCACTGGGTAGGTTTTTAATAGCAGCAGATCGTATTTTAATGACTTTGTGGTTTTTAAAATTCTGTTGTAATGTGAGGAAACTGTATGTAAAAATCAGGAAACAAATTCCCATTATTGCCATAACTGTGACCCAACCAGGTATCAAAGTGGGTAACTGCCTCTGCTGTGATTGTTTCTCAGCCCTGAGTCCCACAGCAGATGTAGGGCTGGGGATGTGGATGGTGAATTATTCATTTTTTGCCTCCCTACTGCTAGCTAGTCTCTGGCACAGAGAGGAGTTCAGGAAAATGTGCGCAACATGAGAAGTGGTGTGTATGGACCAATCTTCAGGTGCCCTCATTCACTGCCCCCGAAAACCCACTGTGCTTTCCTGCCTCTAGATCTTTGGTCTTGTCACTCTCCCTGCCTGTCATGGAGCTAGGACAATCCTGAGTAGGGTTGAAAAAGAGCAGGCCAAGGAATTTGGATTTTACAAAATGGGCCATGGGAAGTCATTGATGGTTTTTGAGCAGACAGAATTGACATTGTTTGGAATAGGGCCTAAGACCTTCGTAGACCCTGAGAAGGCAGGTTGTGGTACTCCCAAAGCCCCGCTTGACATTGAAAAGGCTTGATTTTAGATCTTCTGAATGTAAAGTTTTGAATGCCAAAAATAATTCTTTTCCAGGTCTTTCCCTACTTTACCATCCAAGGCTGAAATGATCCCCTTTCTTTACTGTAGATCGTTCTTCCCAAAATATATAAGGTTTGAACCTAGGTAAGCAAAATAGAGTGGTAACTGTCCGACTGTTCATGACAAAATTAGATAATGGTGTAGCATAATTTTATTTCAGAATAAATCCTCTCACTTTTGCTTCAACCGCAGAGAAAATACCAAGAATAACTTCATAACAATGCTCCAGTACATCTAAAATGTCCCTCTTGAAGCCCTTAAAAGCTACATGATGAAATTTTAAGGGAATCTTGGTTTTCTATATATATATATGGCAGATGAGATTAGAGCCTCACTTTTGGTGGACAATGATGATAATGGTTCACAATCCTCTTTGTCATTTTCCAGTATTCGATTTCAGCATAAGAGAAAATCTCGAGCACATTGGGCACTATTAATGACCAGTTAAATCTTTCATTTTGCTTCATTCTAGCTTAAAACCAAAACAGTATCGACTTCACAAGGGAACTCAGCCCTAAGCTTACTGTAAAAATTAAATATGAAAAGGAGATAAATTAAACATTCATTAATTTGTAATAAAAATCAAAGCTGAATCCACAAGCTGTCACCGTCAGACCCTTTTAAAACTAGAGAAACCCTCTTTTAACACAAAGGCCTTTATCTTGTTGACCACCATAACTTCAGTGAAATACAACTATTTCTATGTAGTCTGTTTTAAATCCCACGCTAAACAAAGGGGAAAGTTCCATTATCTTTCAGGCTTTACCAATCCCTGATCAATTGGCTGTATTTTTGTCTATTATTCATTGTCATTGTTAGAAATTAAGCCTCTGTTACTGACAAGGGCAAAACTTAGCTGGGCAGATCAATACAATTATTTCTCTCCTCAAATAAAAGAGGTATGAAGATAATGACTAGCACTGAATTAAGAAAAAATTCTGTTTTTCACAAGCTGTTCATGTTCCAGAAAAGCCCTTTGAGTTGCCAAAAAGAAAAAAAAAATATAGAAAAAGAAAAAAAAGGGGGGCCTGTTTAAGGTTCCACAGCCTCATGTATCAGAGAAATTTTCTGCAACTCTGAATCCTAGCCAAAAGAAAAAAGAAAAGCATACTTTATGTACAGTCCACAGTCAAAACCATACAAAAGCCTTCATAATTAATGCTCTTGCAGATCCATTATAGGTCATTGCTAAGCCCAACATCACTATGTTGAACATCAATAGCCACCGGATGAGAATGGAAGGAAGAAAGCGCAGACTAAACAAAATCTTCAGCAACAAGAATAACAGCTTTGCTCTCAGAAGACAGACTTCTCTGGCTGGCTTCACACTTTGGCCCCACGTGCTTTCTTTGGAAAATACTTGTCATGAAATTTTATGATCTGTTAAAAAAAAAAAGTGTAAGAAATATTCTTTCTTACCTGCCTCACAAGATTGTTGTAAAGATTAAAATTAGATAGTTGTGAAATTGTTTCTAAGTCTCTTAGGGAAGACTGGAGAGAGGCTTTGTGGATAAACTTATTTATTGCCACCTTAAAATAATTATAATGATCCCATCTTAGCCCTCTCCCATTAAAAACCCAGGATTCTGCTGACGGAGAAGTTATTTTGCTTGTCTCCAAATAGCTCTTTAAAATCATTTCACCTATAGCTCAAAAGTATTTAATACATGACTGACAAAAAGAAAAAAAAATTGTAGCAGCCTTCCAAACCCTTCCTGGATTAGTCAGAAGAGAAATTCCATCAGCTCTGCCATGACTACACGTAGAATTTTTCCCCTATGAATTCCTCACTTTCTGTCCTTTAAACACATTTTCCTTTGTCTCCTTCCAATAATAACTGGCAAATGCATTGCCCGCTGTCCTTATATTCTCTTCACATCTCTATATTCAGTTTTTCCTACTCAGTCACGTTAGCTTTAATGGGGAAAGGTACGGCCCACCTTCTGCAAAACACGTCTTCACATACTCCATGCGCTGAGCACCAACACCCTTGGCAACAAATGCTTTGACTCTATCAGATCCAAAATATGTGGATTTCCCAAACATTAGCACCTTTTACTCCTCAGCCCTCCCCACCCTCAAATCTATGTTACCAAAAGTATCTCTTAACTGAGACCTGAAACACATTCATATTAAGTTGTAAATTGTAGTTAGTGTCTGCTATTATGTCTTCTAAAATAATTTTACTTCCTATATGTTTCCTTTCTATACATCCATAATATGCCTTCCTCCTCACTCAACCCCTTTGTTCTAGTCAGCTTTTTGGCCACGGTAACTTAAAAGACCTGAGAAGCACAATTGTAGAGGAGGAAAAGTTTATTTGAGGGCTCATGGTTTCAGAGGTCTTAGTCTGTAGAAGGCTGGCTCCATTCCTCAGAGCTCAAGGTGAGGCAGAACATCATGGCAGAAGAGTGTGGCAGAGGGAAGCAGCTCACATGATGATCAGAAGCAGAGAGAGAGAGAGAGAGAGACTCTCCAGATAAAAAATATACACCCCATAGCTATGCCCCCAATGAACCACTTCCTCCAGCCACAATCCACCTGCCTCCAGTTACCACTCAGTTAATCCCATCAGGGACTAATTCACTGATTAAGTTAAGGCTATAACCAAATAATTTCTCCTCCAAACCTTCTTGCACTGTCTTACACATGAGCTTTTGGGCGACACCATGTCTAAACCCTAACACCCTTTCAGGCATATTTTCTCCCAGGACATACTCCCAATTAGCACAACAGGAAGCTCTCTTCCTGTTAAATGTCCCCTATATACAATAAAAGATGGACCATCAGTTGTGATATCAAAGAGTGGAATTTGAGGTGAAGTTTGGGGGCAGTAGAGTCAAGAACTTGGGTGCTATCTAATCTACCTGTAGCTAACCTAACCCTGGTAACAGGATTCAGTGGTACCCAGGCTTTAAGAACTGAGTGGTGGAGATGAGGACAATGGTTCCTTAGGCACTTGGTATGGATGGTGCATGATGTTCCATAGCAGACAACAGAAGCTCAAGTTAATTAAGCACAAGGGTACTTATTGCCAAGCATTCTGTGGCTTATTAAATCATGCAGTGGTAGGAGGAGAGGTGCTAACTGAGCTACTTCCTCCACCAACTGCCTCTATCAGGCTGAGAAAGTTCTTCCATGGCCTCCAGGAGCAGCAGATGCAGGAAGGGTTGATGTTGAACAGCAATGCATCTGCCACCTTCTGTACCAGCCCAGTGGACACTTCCAGCCTTGCTCTTCTCTACTTCATTCAATTCCAAATCCAAGTTTCATGCACAGGTATCTGTCCAAAGGAATATAATTCACAAATGGAACCCAGCCATGAGAGAGCCTAGGAAATGTAGTTTTAACTTTCAAGACTATAGTATAGAAAGGCCCAAGATAAGGAGGTTAAAATAAGTGATGAGCAATTTACAAAATCTACTATATTGTATTTGTAATTAGTGAAGTTTTAGCACAACGGAAGACTAATCAAAGTATGCTTTAGCTGTGAAATATTCTCAAGTGCTTTCTACTTTTCCAAGACTCCATTTTTTAAAAAAAATACTAAATATAATTTATTCTTTTCTCAATCACCCAAAACCATAACCATAAACATTCCCAATTTTACTGTGCTGCAAAATTGCAATGCCCTCAATAACTACTACTGATACACAGGATAGTTTTCCCTGAACTGAACACCCTCAGAGGGCTGTTTGCTTTACTTTCTTTTTCCTCATAGCTTTCTTGATTCTCCAATGTTTCTCTGAGGACTGTAGGCCAGCTGTGCATTAAGCTTTCCTTATTAAAAAGATAATGAAAATGCACTCCTCCAAAGTTAGAGAACTCTGGCGGAGACTCTTCAGACAGGAAGGAAGGCTGTACCAGTGGTTTGCGCCTCCATCCTTTGTCTTCCCACTGCTCTCAGATCCTCTCCTCTCATTTCCCAGTGCTTCTACCATGTTTTTTCCTGAGGCCTGAGCATGCACTCAATTCTCTTTCTTTGGATCTTATTAGAAAAGCTTGTGTTTTCATCAGCTTTTTTTATGTCTGTGACTAAAAGACCTGACAAGAACAATTTTAGGGGAGGAAAACTTTATTTAGGGGCTCACAGTTTCAGAGGTCTCCGTTCACAGACAGTA